GCACACGCACACACACACACACACACATGCGTATATATACATAAATATGTAAGTGGCATATGTATTTTTAAGTGAAAAAGACATTTTAACAATTATAATTGTATAGAAAAAAAAAATAATAAAAATGTACTCAAAAATGAATTGATGACATAGATGAATTGATTGATTGATGGCTTTGTATAATTTTTATTACATTTTTTGCTATAAATAAATTAATATAAAAAAAAATAAATTTAATAGAAAAAATTTTATACTTTACGTGTGGGTGTGCGTGTGCGCGTGTGTCTGTTTTATTTTTATTTCCTTGAATGTTATTATTAAAAACGTTTAATGATTGTTTGTTTTTAAAATGGTGGATATGTAAATAATCGTGTCATTTGCGAGTAAAAAATGGCGCGAATTTTACGATGTCGCATTATTGACAAAATCGCGATCTGTGGGCGGAAATGCGAATTAAAACATTATAACGAAAAGATTTGTAGGAAGTAAACCGTCGCGCGCTTCTTTTTTTTTTTTTTTTTTAAACAATGTTCTTAAGTGAATATAAAAACGCCGTCACGTTTTCGAAAAAGTTAAGTGTTTATTTAAATAATTAAACGAGTTGACTAAATCCTGTTGGAAATGAGAAAGAAAAAGGTAATTACTTTTATTGAAATACTATTATTATAAGTTTTCTTCTCAGAATGGGTTTTTTTTTTAAAAATGATTTAATTTATCCTAACTTGGGTTTCGTTATTACAATTTTGTGGAATTTAACGGTTAAATTTTATTAAATTTTGTTGTTTTTTCCGTGTAAAAGAATAAGAAAAGAAGGAAAAATTAATTCGAAGATGTAATCGATGTGATTTTCAAATGGTAAGTTTATTTTAAAAAATTTTAACAAAACGAATAACTAGTTAACCGTTTTATTACACAAAAAAATTTTCTTTAATTTGAGAAAAAAATAAGTAATTTAAATAATTTTTAATGTTTACTAATTTACTTAATGACGGTTTTTAAGTGGTAATTTTTAGAAATTACCATTCTCTCTGATAAAAAAACAAAAAAAAACATACATTTTTTACTTTTGGGCTTTACAATTTTTACAAAACTATAAGTTAAATGAATTTTTTTTCCAATTTATTTTATTAAAATTATTTTCGATAACATAAAAAAATAATCTAAAATTTTAATGTTAAACAAGTATTATTTTTAACTACTGATCATATTTACCTTTGGATTTTTTTTTTTTTATTAGATTAAAATTTATTGGTTTTTTTTTTATTTTATAAAAATGGTTTATTTTATTTTATTTTGTTTTAATGAACAACTTTAAAGTTTCTTTTTTTTTAATTTTCATTCAATAATTTAAAATCTTATTTATGCAAAAATCAAATTTTTATTCGAGTAAACTTCACATTTGAATTTTGTTACAAGTGTTTCTTTCGAGTACTCTAAGGAAAGGAAATTAAAATGAGTTTCGAAACTATTTATCTTTCAAAAAAATAAAACTTTTAAGTAAATTCTTTTGTTTTTTTTAATTGATTTTTAATTACTCATTATTATGATTATTCAATCTGTCATAATTAATAATTAAATCATTCAATAAAATTATTTGTAAAAGTAATTTGTTGAAACGAAAACTAATATTTGTCACACAAGTGAGGATTATGTAAAGAAAATTGAAATTAATATTTTCCTAAATAATATATTTAAAAATTGATTCGATTTGTGGAACAATTTAAACAAAATTTATAGGAATTTTCAAAACTTTTTTATTATGCCTTCGAAAGAATACATTAATTTAAATCGAAAGATGTTTTGTTAGTTTTATATGCGACAAAAATATCATTTACAGAAGGAATGATACCAATGTTAAAATAAAACTATGTAATTCTATTAATGTTTGTTATAATATTCATATGTCTTATAATTTTAAATAGTCTTTAACTTTTATTTAAGCTACATGTAAATCTGATGAGAATCGAATTCAAATATTTCAAAGTTTAACTTATTAATGATTAAAATTAAAATATTTTTCTTATTCTAACCTAAAAAAAAAACTTAATAACACAAATTATTTATTCAAAATGTACTTTGTGTTTAACATTTACATAAACATGTTTTAAAATTAGTTTTTTTCATAAAGGAATAAAATCTACAAATTTCCAAATAATGTTTTTGTAAATATTATTATAATAAAACTCTGAGTTTGTCAACCATTTTTTTTTCTAATGACATTTTACTTGCACAGCAGCAAACAATTTATTTACATAAAAAATTTATTTAACAACAAAAAATACATAAATGTAATTCGAAATATACTTTTGACACAATATTAATAATATACAAGTAATGAAAAATTAAAAAAATTATTATTAACAAATAATTTAATTATTATTAATTATCAATCAAAATATATATAGTAAAAATAAACGAATGATTAATTTAATTAATGATTACTATAAATTAAAAGCAAATTAAAGTCTTTAATAAATAAATAGATGAAAAAACAATAATAAATAGAAAAAAAAAACAGAATTTTTAAAAATTTTTTGCTTATTATTATTATTATTATTATTATTGAAAAAAAAAATTTTTTGCTACGCTCAAAACCGTTGCTCATTTTATTATTTGAATTAGAGAGCCAGTAGCTGGCTTAAGGTGCCGTTCTTATTCTCACTATAAACTTACTTAATATTTAATTATTTATTACTATATATTTATTCATATAAATAATTTGGCGGTAAAGGATCGTTTAAAATGAATTGTTTTCGCATAATCGTTATTTAATAAATATCTTTTATCATTTCATTTAAAATTGTAAATCGAATTAAGGCGTCTAGTTTTTCTACAACCACCACCACCACCACCAATGGCGGCCGTAAATAAAAAAAATAACTGAATTCCATCATTTGAAAGGTGATGTTTTATTTTTGTTTCTTATTTTTTCAAACATTGTAAATAATTAAATAGTTAAATGTAGTTTAATTAAAAATTGGATTCGATTTCGGTGTATTGAAACGTGTAAAATAAAATTAGCTATCTGTTGTAGATGAATACATAGGGCATAATGTAATTTTGTCAATTCAACAGGGGAACAAACAAATGTCAGAATTTAAAGAGTAATAAAATCATTATCGATCAATTAATAATAATATTATTATCTATTTAAGTGAATTTTATGTTAGAGGAATCATTAGACAAATAGAAATTGAAAACAGATAGATAATTTTGTAAATAAGAGAACCAAAATGTCAAGAGCCCAGCCCCTTTTTATCCACTGTCATTCTCAAAACAAATATTTATTTTATTTTTAATTTGCTTTTTTTTTTTTTTAAACTCTTCATTAGAGTAATGTAAATTATTTAAATTGTTTTAATTTATTTTTGTTAATGGTTTTTATTTTCAGTTGTAGTTTTAGTTTTTAGTAATTATTTATACGATATTTACTTCATTGCTTTGAATGTTTTTTTTTTTTTTTTTTTTTGAATCAATTATGAAGTAGTAATTAAAGTTTTTTAGATTTAAATAAAAATAAACACATAAATTATTATTTGAGTTTGTTATTTAGACTATTCACTTATGTTTTAGGTAAATTTTAAAAGTTCAAAATGGAGATTGAAAAACAATCGGAACCTGATAGCACAACATTAGAAAAATATGTCAGACAACAATTTAGAAAAGATGAAGATGTGCTTTGTTTGAATAGTAAAGATGGTTGTTTTTATTTAGGTACCATTGTTCAGGTATGTATGAAATAAAAAAATTTTTTTTATATGACAAATCACTTTAAAATCAATCAAGTTTCGTATCGATATTGTTTGATTCCGTAATAAAAAGATTTAGGATGTTACCAGTTTACTTTCAATTTTTTTTTGAAAATTTTTAATGAGAACAATTTTTAATTTAATTTGTTTTTAAATTATTATTATTATTATTACACAGCCTGAGAAATTAAGAATGATAATACAATTGAAAATGCAGTCGATAAATTATTCCCCAAGATGAAAAAATCGAAATCAATTATTATTGTTATTATTATATAATATTGAAATTTTAAAACCATTGTTTTTAATAAATTAAAATGTTTTTATTATGAAACTGATTGAAATTAATAATATCATTTTATTTTAGGTTGACAACATATATAAAAAATGTTTAGTAGAATTTTTGGACAATACAAAAATGTGGTCTTCCTTTAAAGATCTTAAAAGTTTCGCACCGCAGGAACCTGAAATTTGTTATGTGTGTAAGGAGGCACAAGTTAAAGATGAGAATAATATAATTGTATGTAAATGTGAGAGAGAATGCCAACAGGAGAGTCATGAGGTAATTGTTTATAAAAAAAAAAGAATGGATGATTAATTTGTATTTGTTTATTATTTAACATATTTTTTATCTTTGATATCGACTATGCTCTACTTATTTAAAATTGACAATTTATAATAATATTTATATTTACTTTGAGAATTATTTAACATAATTTGTTTGATGATTTATGTTTAAAAGTTATTATCGAGTGTAATAATGCAGTTAGTTTCCTTATAATTTATTGTTCGAGTTCAGTTTTTCAGTTAAAGTTAAAATTATTTGGTTTTTTTTTGTGTCAAAGGTTAATTCCAGTACTGAATATTATGGAAGAGGTCTAGTCAAAAGATCAACTCCATTTCCGGTTTCGGAACAAGCAAACAATTTAGATACGAGGTTTCGTTCGCACGCGGTACGCAAAGCAAGACGACTGTTAAATAAAAATCTTAAAAGGAAGAAGAAGACTGCTGCTGCTGCTGCTGCTGACACATCCGTCCTTCAATCAAGGGTTAACGTGGAATCATCCACGGAAGAAAAGAAAAATGATGATAAAATTAGTCATAAAAATTTTCCACAAACGTTTGAAGGATTCATACAATTGAGAAAGAGAAGAATGAAAATTCACGCGAAACAAAATAATTTAGAAATAAGAAAACGACCTCAGAGAAATTTATTAGAAGCCAGACTGAATTCAACGGAGAGTAAATTATACAATCCGTTCACGCCGGTCGATAATTCGGAAGCGAAAAGAAATCGAAACGCGGTTCAAGAAAATAAAAGATCGGAAATTAGTTCCTTTAAAAAATCCAAATCAAAACAAGCCAAATCATGTGAACAGAAACACAAAAACGTGAAGCCAAAACTCGTGCAGAAAACAATATACGATTCATTTAATTTAAGAAGTGCCGAAAAACAAAAATACGAAATGAGCATGGCTTTACTACCCAAGTGCAAAGTGAAAGAAAGTGATCAGACTAGTGGAGATAGTAAAAGTAATAGCGTCAAATCCGGTCGTGGAAGAAGGTCCGTAAGATCGGAGAGTTTGGACAGAACCCCTGTGGAATCGGATTTGATTGACAGTAGCGATGACGAAGCATCATCGAGAGGAACATTAGAGCCGTTTATACCCACGCCAAAGGATTTCGAAGGGCAAAATAATCCTTTTAGAAGCGTCAACGATTTGATAAGTTTTCATCCATCGACAACCGTCCCATCGGTCAATCCTCCGATCACGTTACCATTACCATTAAAGACTGTGATTTGTCATAACGATCGTCCCAGACTGAAAAAAAGACAGCTTAGCGAAGAAGATATTATAATAGATAGAAACGGTTTAGTTAAAAGACGTCGAAGGCATAGAAAGAATCATATGACGACGACGACGACGAGTGGGGGTAGCACGGCTTCTAAATCAGCACAGATAGGACCCGGGGGTGGTGGTAAAAGCAGTAGAAAGCATTGGACGGTTCGAAGCGAAAAGAAAACTCTTCAACCATTAATTAACAATAGTAGAAATTTCGCATTGAACGGTCGTCAATTAAGAGCGAGAGATTCATTGAAAATGGATAAATCGATTCCTTCGTCTCAGACTTCGCCCATCAGACAGTCACCGACAAAAGATGGAAGTGGGGGCGGGGGCGGCGTCAATGGCGGCGGCGGACCTCTCACAGAAGATTTAGAATCATCCGTGAAATATTTTTTCGGTGCTGCGAGTAGAATATTAAGCGGGGAAAAATACGAAATCCGAGCTAAACGCGTTACTTTCGATGGTAGGTTGCAATGCATTATAGATTGGAAAGGGCTACCAACATAACTTTTCTTGACTTTAATTTATGAAAATTTTTTTTTTTTTAAATTATTTAAAATGATTTACTATATATATATATATGTAGGGTTAATGAACGAGATCCATTCTTTTCTCTTTTAAACAAATGTAACATTATTATTGTAAAAGGAAAAAGCAGAAAAAAAGAAAATTCTTCTACGACATTTTGTAAATAAGTTTGGCAGTGAATTAGTAATAATCGTGTCAGAAGTTGATCAATGAGTTGGTGGTTCGTCTCTTTCTCGTTACACGATCGTATGTATGTAACCGGAAGGAAAGAAAACAAAACTAGGATTTTATATTTATTGTTTAATATTATTTTTTTTTTTAAAGTAATCTTGTAGGCGTTCGGTTTTAGTAATTACAACACGTGGACTTGTTGAAAACCCCGCGTACACCCACCCACGCACGCACGCACGGACGCAAGAGGGAACCTCATCGCGACCTCCCTCATCGATAATATAATTCATTATCGATAATCGATTATTAACGGTTACTGTCGACAACAACTTTTCACTTTCTTTTCTTTTCTTTTCTTTTTTTTTGGGGGGGGAGGGGGAGGGATGTCTTATTACCGTTTATTAGTGTTTAGCAAAAAAAAAAATTTTTTTTTTTTTAGAGCGTTTATATCACTGCCAATAAAAAAAAGAAAAATGTAAACGAAAGACTTGTAAGATAATGATAATAATAATAATAATAATTATTATTATTATTATTTCTATGATAAATTCATTTGAATGTTGAAACAACGTCACGAATATAATCGCCATTTAAAATTTTATGTGCCATTTTTTTTTTTTTTTTTAAGAAATTTGAGGAAGGGGATTTGAGAAAGGTTAAAGGTCATATCGAGTATACGATTTTTCTTGTTATATTTATAATTATATATATATGTATGTATAAATAAATAAATATTTAATAATTGTATTATTGTTTAATAAAAAAAAAAAATTTTTGTGTAGTACTTGAGTTAACTTATGGAAGGTGTACACGCGCACGCACACACACACACACACACGCGCGAGAATAATGATGATGATAATTGTAAAAATTGCGAAAATTAATTTTTTTTTTTTTTTTCATATTCTTATCACTTATCCTTTCCGCAGAAAGTTATGAATGAAAGGAAAAAAAAAAAAAAAACTGGCATGTTTAAAACCTGACATGGATAAAAAACTGTCATGGCGACGACGACAAATGTATTTTTTTTTTTAGTTTTTACTCATTATGGCGACGGTCGTGACGTTGATTTTTTCAAAAACAGAAAAATTTTCTATCGTGTCTCTCGACCTTAATAGGTTTTTTAGGTTTCTTACCTTCCAAAATAAACAAACCTCATTAAATTCCAGGTACATATAAATATGTTAACGTGTATAAGTTTATATGTTCCATACAAAAAAAAAAAAATTGTGTTCGATCCTTTTGAATCAAAAATCAAAGGATTTTATTTAAAAATAATAATAATAATAATAATAATGAAAATGTTATGTAGTAATTAATTTTTTAGTCATTAAATATTATTATTATTATTATGTTCATATCATAAATGTAAAAGAAATCATGAAATTGTTTTAGAAAATATTAAATAAATAAATAAATGATGAATCCGGTACATTCGAATTTATATATATATATTTAAATAAATTATAAATATAAATAAATAAATGAAATAATAATAATAATAAAGAAAAATTTATTTATTTAAAACAATTATATATTTTATTTATTTAATTTTTCAAAAATTAATTAATGGCGGTTAAAAATTTGTTTGTTATGATTTTATTATAGTGCCACGATTAAAAGTGATTGGTTGATATTGGAATGGGGGAGATAATAAACAATACAGACGATAATCACGTGATCACCGGTGGGAGGGAGTGGTGTGAGGTGTAAAACGGAAGTGACGTAATTTGAAATTTTGTCGGTTAAATAGAACGAATGGAACGAGACGAGTAGTTTATAACCGGTGTCGAATTCGTAGTGATGGCGTGATCGTTATTTGAAAATGTTTTTCTTTTTGTTTTTTGTTTTAAAGAATAAAAATCGGGGGTTGTGTTATCACGTGATAATTAACGACATTTAAATAAGGTAATTAATTAATTTATTATATATATATTCGACGTCTTCTGCTTTAAAAAAAGAAAAAATCACATTCGAAAATCCGTTAAGACAAAAAAAAAAGGAGGATGGGGAACAAAATTTTTTTTATTAATAATTTAAATTAATTAATTAAGGATTCGATGTGAATATCAATAATATATACGTTATTTAAATCGTACCTAAGGATTAAGGTATGAGGGAAAGGAAACAAAAAAAATTCAAATAAAATTTAAAATGTAAATTTTTTTTTTTGTATTTTCGTTAAATAACAAAAGAAAGTGAACCCGGGTGTATTATACAGTAATAATTAGTTAATTAGGTTTTACAAAGTGTATATATAGCCCTTTGTATAATTGATTCCGTTCTCTAAACCTTTGTCAAACCTTTCAATTAGAATTCTTCCCCATTTTTAAAATAATTAAATTTAATTACGTTATAATAATTCCCTCCGAAGGGGTTGTTACATTTCTAATAATAATCAAAGAGAGAAAGAAAAGAATTATCGTGACATAAATTTTATTTATATAAAAAAGATGATTTTCACCTTTAACGGTTTTTTTAAACAAGAATAATACAAACAAATACGTAAATGGGTAAAATTTTATCTCAAAGGACTTATAGACAATTTGTAACTTTATATTATTATTATTATTATCGTTATCATCATCATCATCATCATTTTTTTAAAAGTGAATCGAGCTTTGTAGTCCATTGTAATTCTTTTCAGTTATGGTTCATTACTTTTTTTTTTTTATATATAGAAAAGGGAAAATACGTTGGGGATAAAGCACTGACTGACTGATAAATTTAAAAAAAAAAAAAATCGAAGAACACGAAAAAAAAAAACATTTTACTTGGATTTTTTCATGCCTACTCTCTCTTACCCCCAACCCCCCAAGATTTTCTTTTTTGCTCCTCGTACCAACATCGAGAAAAAAAAAACAATTTTTTTTTACCAAAGAGGACTTAAACGTTTCTTCTTCTTCTTTTTCTTTCAAATGATTTTTTTGTTTAAAAAAAAAAATTTAAAGATTTTTGTCAATTTAAAGAAAGGGGTCAAAGGTCAACAGTAAATATAGGGTTCATCTTAACTATTTCAATATTTAAAAAAAAAGAAAAAAAAAAGAAAATTTATCGTATGAAAAATATTTTTAAAAAAAAAAAAAAAAGTAATTTTTTTGGAATTTTATTATTATTATTATTATTGAAATCCCATTAATCGATATTTATAAGTTTTCTGGATTCTCCAGTAAATACTGACTGGAACGTAAATTAAGTTTTTTTTTTAAAAAGAAAAGTAAAAAAAAAAAATTAATGAAGTGTAAAACAACAAATTTTCTCCTCGTTAAAATCTATCAATCAATCATTTATTATTATTATTATTATTATTATTATTATTATTAGTACTAGGAATGACTTTTAAATTGCAATAAAAGAGAGAGAGATGGGAGAGGGGGGGTAAAGAAAGTTTTTTTTTTGTTAAAAGAAAATTAAAAGCTAAGAAAAAAGTGTTGAAGTAAAATTAATTTTTCAAAATTTCTTTTTCCAAAATTAATATTATCAAATTATTATTATTATTATTATTATTTTTTAATTATTTTCCCGTCAAAATATTTTCCAAAAAGGAAAATCATGACGCTGAAAGAGAGAGAGAGAGGGGGGGCGGGGAAAAGGGAGTGGGAAAAAAAAAATATATATGAGTGTATATAGAAAAAGAGAAAAAGGAATAAATATGTCGGGAAACCTTTTTGACGATGCAACCCTTAACACGAGGGTGGTTGTGGCGGGGGCGGGGGTGGGGGTGGAATGATTTCGTTCGTTCGAGTTTAAATTAGTCTTGAGCGTCTTTATAAACCGCTTTTATTGCCGACATTAATTAAATTTAACGGGATTTCGTTAAAAATGGCGAAAATAAAAATTCATATTTTTTATTTTTTTATTTCATTTCAATATGGCTGACTTTTCGTTAAACAAGAACAAATTTTCACCCATTCTAACCTTTTCCTATTTATTTTTTTAACTCTTAATTATTTTAATTATCATTATGGATTGATTGATTGATTTTTTTTTTATTTAAACATTCACCATAGAATAATAAATTTATTCGTTAAAAAAAAAGAAAAAATGGCGTTTTAAACAATCAAACGGTCGTTTCCGTCCGCCATTTTCTTTTTCGTTTGATTACGTCACGATCGTTTTGAAAATATTTTTGTCGATTCGGTTTATTTATTTTTAACCGTTATTTTATAAAATATTGATTATTTTAACGAATTGATTGATTATCGTTAAGAGAGAGAGAGAGAAAAAAAAAGAAAGAAATTTAATTTTAAATCATTTTTTATTTTTTTATTCTGTCGAGATCAAACAAATGAAAAAAAAGGAAAAAAGGGGGGAGGGAAAGGGGGAGGGGTGGAATTTTTTTTTTTTTTATCGAATGAGTTTTACGGCATTAAATTATTTTATCAAAAGGTTTTTCTTAAGCTAAGTGTTAGCTAATGTAGATGGTAAAAACTCCCTCGCCATTAGCTTACATTACAATAATCAGCTTTGCACATTTTATTTAACCCAAAAAGGTTTTTTCTCGCCTTACTTTTTACATCCGACCACCACCACCCCTCCCACCCCCTCTTATTCCTTTTTCGTCCTTATATATATATATATTCTAAAAAAAAAAAAAAAATTTATCCCATTTCTTCATTATGACGCCTTCGCTTCAGTTACCCTAGGATTATTCGAGAGAGAGGGAGAGAGAGAGATAGGGGAGAAAGAGAAAGAGAGAGAGAGAGAGAGAGAGAGGGTGAATGAGTCGGTCTGAGAGACAATTGTATATAATTCAAAACAGAATATTTTATAAGTCAATTTGTTTGTGTTATTCTTATAAAATGAGAGAGGAGGAGCTTTTTAAAAAAACCTTTTTTTTAACGTTTTCAGAATTGCCAACTTAAAAAATTAACTTTTTTTTTTTTTAAATCTCGTACGAAAAATAAACGATTTAATAATCGTAATAAGAAAAAAATTATAAACCGGAAATGGTGAAAATTTTTTTTATTTAAGTTTAAATTGAAAATTTTTAAAAGAGAGAGAGAAAAAAAAAAGGTTAATCAAAAGGTTTTTTTTTTTTTTTTGTGGTAAAACTCGTGATGATGATGATGATGATATTTTTTAATAATATTATTTTTTTTGTTCCTTGTCGTTTGATCCTGAATAGGAAATTTTTTTTTTAAATATAAAAAGGTTGACAGTCATTTATTATTATACGTGAATATATTTTTTAATATAAAACAAATTCTTGAATACAGAAAAAAGAAAAAGAGGAAAAAAAAAAAACTTTTTCTTTAATAATAATTTTTTTTTCCTTCTTCTTCTTCTTCTATTTTTCATTCAAGATGTAAAAAAAAAAATGAGATAGAGAGAGAAGGAAAAAGAGGAGTGGAAAAAAATATGTGCGCGGGTGTGTGTGTGTAAGAGAGAGAGAGAGAGAGTGAGAAAACTCTCCAATCTTTTTCGCATCAAAAAAATTATTTATATCCAACCTTTTTTAAAATTTAAATTTTGAAAATCTAAATAAACTAGAAGAGAATTTTCCATCAAAAAATAAGAAGCAATTTATGTCACTTTGAAGCAAGTTTTCATTTCTCCTTCTCTCTCTCTCTCTCTCTCTCTCTCCCTCTCCCTTCCCTTCTCTCTTTCCCTCCCTCTCGCTTTTTTTCTTCAAAGTAAAAAAAAAAAAAGAAAAAAAAAAGGTTGAAAAGTTGAAAAAGAAAAATAAGAAGAGAGAGAGAGAGAAAGGGGAAAGGGGAAAAGGAGGGGGTAGGAAAATTCCGGAAGAAAAAACTCTCCGGCTGCTAAGTTTAACGAAAGCTTGGAAACTTTTTCTCAAACCTTTTGAAACTAAAGAAGGAAGACGATAATTGAAGGTTTTTCCCGTTGCTAGAATGTGAGATTGAAAAGCTTTCTAAAAAGAAAAAAAAAAAAAAATGGAAAAATGGAAAAATCTCGAACCCTAGGACATATGCAAAACGATAAAATGATGATGGAATAATTTAAAATTCATCGAATGGCGTTTTCAAAAGTGTTAACCGAATCTTTCCATGTTTTCCATTTTTCCTTTAATAAAAAAAAAAAAAATTCCCAATACGTATATATTTATGTACACTTTTTTTTTTTTTTAATATTCTCCAGACGATTAATTTATCTTATTGTTTTTATCATTATTATTATCATTATCATTAATTTTCCAAGTCTTTTTTTATTGCACGTTAATAAGTTTTTTAATAATTTAATTGGATGTTTGATTGATTAAAATAATTTTTTGGAGAAAAAGTGCTTAAAAGGTTAGCACTCTATTGAAAACGTGTTAAGGCGTGACTACGAAATATACACGCACCTACACACGTGTATTTTCTTAATCTCAGAGAGAGAGAGAGAGATGATAGAAAAACGGGGGAAATGAAATCACAACCTGAAATCGAGTCGGAAAATAACGATAATAATAATAATAATTTTATAAAATGCAGTTTTAGATCCGCCATATTTGCTGGCCGTTAAAGCAGAAGACGTCGAATTTATTCATTTAATTTTTTATTAATTTAAAAAAATGAATGCAATTTTTTCTTTTTTTTTTTTTCTATTGTTTTCGTTTTGGAAATTTATTAGAAAATGAGAGGAGAGAGGAGAGGGGGAGGGGAAGAGAGAGAAAAATCTGAATGAGAAAAAAAATGGAGGAACAGAATTAGATTTTTTTATTTTTTTTGTCACTGTTGTTATATATTCATTTTTTATTACATTTTTTTTCTTTTACATTTATTTAATCCGGACGTTTTGTTTCGGCCATAAACATTTTTATTATTTGAAAACTTTTCCATTAGAAACTTAGTTTTATTCGCTTTCAACAAAAGTAAACTCTTAAGATCTCTCTATCTCTCTCTCTCTCTCTTTCTCTTTCCGGAAAAGCTTAAAATTTTTCTTTTTTTTATATTTTTTTGCCTCGGCTTATTTCATCGACACATGCCCTTAAAATTTTCTTTATAACATACACGGTTTTTCTATTTAACCGATGGAAAATCCGATTCCAGAATTTTTTTTTCCAAACGTTCGAGAAAATCGTGGAAAATTTATTACATCTTATTTTGACTTTAAAAAAATGTAAAAAAAAAAAGATTTGATTTTAACAGCATTTAAAAAGCAAATTAAACTTTTTCCATTTTCTGAAAGCTTTTCCTTAATTATTATTTCTCTGGAGAATTATTATTATTATTATTATTATTATTATTTTTTTTTTTTTTTTGTCGCTGTCGTCATAAAAAAAAAAAAATCTTTTAACTTTTTTTTTTTTTTTTTTGTTAATTTAATGGAAATTAAAGGACTGTCAGGACTATAAAATGAAAAAAAAGAAAAAGAAAATAGGTAACGAGATGATGAAAAGTAATGTTTTTTTCTCTCTCTCTCTCTCCCTCCCCCTCCCCCTCCCTCAACCCCCCCACCAAACCCCCCTCGCACCTTCCTTTTTTCACTTCGTTTTTCATTCTCTTTTAACGTTTGTCCATTTGTCACCATTTTCTTCTCAGTTTTTAATTGATGTAACTTTTCATATTTAAAAGCAAAAAAAAAAAAAGAAAATTTTATTTTGTCGTAATGATGACGTAACGTATAATAAATGACGTCATCATTTTTTCAAATTTTAAATTATCCACGTGAAAAAAAAAATGAAAGGAAAATAAAAAAAAAAAGATAGCGTGAATCTTCTCCTCCCACGTTTTCTTTTTTTTTATATTTTTTTCTCTAACATCCAAATAAAATTTTTTACGCTTTGTCGCCATTTTCTTAACAATTTTCTTTCTTTTTAGTTCGATTTTCCGAGGAAAACAAGTGCTTTCACATTTTCCCCCAACTCACAACAACAACAACAACACCATTCAAAGATTCGATAAAAGAAATGTAATGAAGAGAAAATTGAAGTGAAAATAAAATTTTCTTTTTTTTTCCACCCCAAAAGAAAGAGAGAGAGATAGAGAGAGAGAGACTCACGCATACGAAAATAGGAAGAAAAGAGAAAGAAAATGGAAAAAAGGTTCGTAAAATAAAAGAATTTTTTTTTTTCTCTCTCTCTCTCTCTTATTCGATGGAAGAATAAAAGTCGATAAAAAATTTACAAGGTTTGGGATTCCTTTTTATAAAAACCAGTTTTTCAAAAAAAAAAAAAAATGGAGGATTTTTTTTGTTTTAAATTATAATTAATTTATTTATTACTGATAATTATTTCACGCTATCATCATCATCATTATCATAATTAATTGTATTTACGAATAAAATGAAAATAAATAAAAGAAAAAAGAAAAAATGTTTTGCGTTGAAGATGAAGAACAAAAAGAGAGAGAGAGAGAGAGAGAGAGAGAGAGAGAGAGAGAGAGAGAGAGAGAGAGAGAGAGAGAGAGAGAGAGAGAGAGAGAGAGAGAGAGAGAGAGAGAGAGAGAATTAACAACAAGTGAAAGGATCATGTTTTTAAATGGTTTATATGGAGAGCACGTTTTTCGGAAGCAATTCATTTTCCAGTTTCATTAAAATGCTCCTTACTTTTCCATTATGTTCCATTTCATTCTCTTTCTCTCTCTCTCTCTCTTTCTCTTTTCTTTTTCTGTCCGCCTTTTCCTTTCTTTCTTTCTTTTGTATTTTTTTTCAACTTTGCAATTAATGTAACCGCTCACAACAGTAAAATTGTCCACTGTTAACGCCCAAATGGGATTGTAATCAATCCTCTTCAAGTAAAAGAAAAAAAAAAGAAAAAGCTTTTCTTTTTTCTTTTTAAAACATTTGTATTTATAATTTATTTCGTTCTTATTTATTATTTGCCAATTTTTACAAAAAATTATTACGCATTTGGCAAATATTATTTTTCTTTTTTCCATTTTATTATTTTGGATATTTTCCCATTTTCCAATAAAATTTTTTTTTAAATTTATGTTTGGTTTTAATAAATAAATGGGAAAACATTTTTTCTAAGCGATTTCAAATCGTAAATGACGTTAAATGTAAATTTTTATATTTAAATTATTTGTCGTGTCATTAACATTATTATCGTGGCAGAATTGTCTGCAAGTAGTTGTAAACAAGTAACACGTGCGTTAAGTGTTTTAACACTTTTAACACATTTCTTTTTTTTAGTTTTATTATTATTATTATTATTTAAATAAAACATGGCGAATGCTAACGAAGGATTACTTTTAAATCTCGTTAGTAATCCAATTAAAAAAAAAAAGGTATTAGTATAATTATTTTGTTTTTATTTTAAAATTTTTCTTTTGATTAATCTAACCTACCAGATTTAACAACTAATAATAACTTTTTTTGTAGGGAAAATCTAGCGGTGACGTAGTAGGTACGGACAAAATATTACAAGATAATAATGATTTTAATTGGTTTGATAAACCAGTGTTTAAAAAAACACCTGAAATAAAAAAAACTAATTTCAAACAATCTGGACAAAAACAAGTGTATAGGGTTAAACCTTTAAACACAACAGGAGAGAAAACAACAGGTACGACACAGGGTGGAATATTAAAAAATATAAGTGTACCTAGTAAATCAGTTTGGAAAAAATTTAAGGAATTTAACAAACAAAGCGATGGGAATGATGTCAAGTCGATGTCAAATTTTAGTAATTTAGAAACTAAAAAAACTAAAACTAAAATTAAAAGTGTTAAATCGAAATTTAAAAAAGTTTCATTTACTAATGACAGTGAGCCTGAATTAACAAAATCAAATTACCATGAATCTGTTGAAAATGATGACAAGTTTGATGCGAAAACAAGTGACAGTTTTGGGGTTGATAATAGTAAAAGTAGTGACGATTATCAATTTGACGATTATTTTAGCAAGTCAAAATTTGTGAAAGGCGGTAAGAAAAATTACAGTAATAATCATGTTTTGAGAAACTTGAATAAAAGTTTAGATGATAATTATAGTAAGGTGAAAGAACACAAAATGGGAAAAGTAACTTCATTATTTTATAACAATCCTGAAATACCTAATATACCACATCGAGCTGTGAAACCCATCAAAGAAGATGTTTTTTCAAATCTTAAATTTGAAGATTTAAATCTTCATTCGTATATGGTAAATTGTTTTTTTACGACATGTACGTAGTTTTATTTTTTTATTTTGCGAATGTTGGTAAAATTGTTTTTGTTTCGTTTATAAAGGTGAAATATTTAAAAGAATCAATGGGTTTAACTCAAGTTACAACTGTTCAAGAAAAATCAATCCCAGTTTTACTCGATGGTAAAGATGCACTTATCAGATCTCAAACTGGTAGTGGGAAAACTTTAGCATTTGCTTTACCCATGTTACACAAACTGCAAGAAATAAGGCCAAAAATTACTCGATCGGATGGAATATTATCATTGATTGTTTTACCGACGAGAGAATTAGCTTTGCAAACCTATGAAGTTTTTAATAAATTAGTTAAGGTATTTTTTTTTTTTTTTTTTTTTTTTTTGGGGGGGGGGGAAGGGGTTTTATAAATCAAAAATTGAAAAAAAGTTCAAAAGCTAAACATTTCATTTTTTTTTTTTTTTTTCCAGTCTTACAATTGGTTAGTACCTGGTTATCTTGGGGGGGGGGAAAAAAGAAAATCAAAAAAAGCAAGGTTGAGAAAAGGTATAACGATACTAATAGGCACGCCAGGGCGTTTAATAGATCACATTCAACACACGAAAGCATTAAATTTAGAAAAAGTTTCTTGGTTGGTGATTGACGAAGCCGATAGATTATTGGATATGGGTTACGAAAAAGATGTTTCGACGCTTTTGGAAACCCTCGATCGACACGACGAGGACTCGAGTTTACTAAAACCCGATTATTTGAAAACGGACGAAGAAAAAGAGGAGAAGGAAAAAGAAAAAGAACCAAAAAGACATCATCGGCAAACGATACTCTTGTCGGCGACTCTGAGTCCAAAAGTACAAAAATTAGCAGGTCTCAGCCTACGGGATCCCACGTTCGTGGATGCTTCCGATAAAAATTCATCTTGTTCAGATCACGTGCCTTTGGTCAGCAGCGATATGGGGGCGGAAACGGATGCTATGGTTTTACCAGAGAGCCTAATTCAAAAATATATAGTGACTCCGCCGAAATTGAAATTAGTTTCGTTGACATCGTTCATCATTTGGAATAGCAAGGTAGTAAGAAAGTTTTCTTTCTCTCTCTCTCTCTCTCTCTCTCTCTCTCTCTCTTTCTCTCCATCTTTAAATCATTTTTATCAATTCATTGAAAAACAAAAATTTATATTTTTTTTTTTGGTCATTCATCCCCATTAATTTATGTTATGTCGAGTTGGGGAAAAAAAAAAAAAAATTAAATTCATTCCATAGAAATATTTAATGTCATTTTACGGTTTAATTTAACTTATTATTCATGTTAAAGCCTGGAGATAAAATTAATATTCCAGAGCGTTAAATTAAATTACATATTTGAATTTATTAATAATGGCAATTGAATTATTTTTTTTTTTTATTCAAGGTTTTACTCGATTTATTTATTTATTTATTTTTAATTTTTTTTTTTTTTTTAAAATCGCTCGAAGGTTTTTTTTTTTTTTAAACGGGGGCTTAAAAGTTATTAACAATTATTTTTTTTTTTTCCTTCCAGGTTAGCCAACAGAAAAAAATGTTGATATTCGTCGGAACTCAAGATATGGTCGATTATTACACGGAACTTTTATCCACCGTTTTTGGTGGTGTGACGTCTAAAAACGACGATGATGGTAACGACACGAAATCGAACGAGGGTCTGTTAAATTTCCCAACGTCCGATATCGAACTCTTTAAACTTCACGGAAACATGAAACAATCGGATAGGATGGAAGTTTTCAAAACGTTTAGAAAATCCAATATGGGCGTTCTACTCTGTACCGTAAGCTTTATTAAATTATTATTATTATTATTATTATTATACCGAACGTAATACTCGTAACGGTGTGCGTATCGTCCCGGGGGGGGGGGTCGGACAGGTAGAGGAGGACAATTTGAATTTAAAAGGTGTGTGTGTGTGCGCGTGTGCGAGTTGTGATGATGTATAAATACGTGAAAAAGTTTTCCTCCTTTTCTTTCTTTTTTTCCGTTAACTCCAGCTTGAACTAACACACGCACTGAATCTCGACAGGGTTGTTGTAATTGCGTTAAGGGTACACGCTTGTGGAAGCTAATGACGGTAATGTTTTTGCATTAAATAGGAAGGGGGATTTCCTCCCCTTTAATTTAAAAAAAAAAAAAAAAAATAACAAATTTTATTACTGTTTTTTTTGTTGCTGCTGCTTTTTATTAGCTTTATAAAAGTTTTGACTTTTTTTTCTGTTGTTGTCGAAGTTGAATTGTTTTGAATATTAAGGTTTGAGTTTTTTTTTTTTTTTTTTTTTTTTTTTTTTTTTAATCGAGAAGAAAGAAATAATTTATAGAATTGTGAACCTTAACCTTAATTTGATTTACTTTTGATTTTTTCATCGAGGGGAGGGGGGTTCGATTTTGATTAAAATTTTTTTTCCGGTAAGATTTCGAGATTTGTTGTTGAGAAAATTTTTTTTTTTTTTGTTAACAATAACCGTCGGACCGACCGACCGTCGGAGCCATCAATTTTTCATTTTGAAAAAAAAAAAAAAAAAAATGTCAGAGGGTGAATTTTTCGAAATCATTAATTTATATGTTGGCAAAAGAGTTTAACGGATGAATCCAGAGGTCAAACGGAAACTTTTTCCCTTCGTTTTAAGTTTATATATATATAAATAAAAGTTTAAGATGTATTGTTGTCGGAAAAATCATTCACAAATTGTTTTTTTTGTCCCCCCCCTCCCCCCCTTGGAAACAAACGGAGTAAGAACGTGGAGTAAAAAGTCTCTAGATGATGCATAATGCACGAAAAAAAACATTTTTCAAGGGAAGCTTATATATATATAACATCGTCGCTTATTACCATTATCATCATCATCATCATCGTCATCATCCCCCTGGGTTGTTGTTGTTGTGACCGCCGCCCTTTGAAAGCTGTTCAACATCAATTTTCAATTCACTATTGCAAATTGATGGGCTACTTACTTATACATACATACTTATATGAGTAGTAGCCTTATGAGGGGGAGTTTTTCACTTGGACGATTATTGGGTTAAATAATTTTATTGTTTCCTTTATTCGTATCAATTTTCTTCCCTTTCCTTCCCTTTCTCCCTCCCCCCTTTCAACTAACTCCCTTTAAACTCGTATCGTTTTTATTGTTTCTTTTTCTGTTTTGTGATTGTCCATTTCGTCCCGGTTCGTTTTTTTTTTGTTTGAATAATGCAATAATGATTTCACGTTCAAAGATTAGGAGGGAACGTTTTTTAAAAAAGTAGAAAAGGACAGACTGTGCGTATGCATACGTATATATATACAACTGTTATAAAACAAATCGATTCGGCGGTTTCAAGTCGAGTCGTGGCGGTAGAACGTAAAGGAATAAGTTGTTTTAATTAACTAATCGGCCATCAGTCGTTGAAACATAAATTTTAAAGTTTCTTAATCGAGTTCGATTAATTAAAAATGATTCGTTTTAATTAAATATTATTATTATAAGGTATGCGCATGTTTATTAATGAGAGGAGAAGGACGACGAGAATATTACGGGGGGAAGGGGAAGGGAGGGGAACGTTTTATTTTGAGTTTTCGCGACGATACGCGGGGATCTAGAAAAAAATCGTGGCAGAAAAGAAATTTTGGCGGGAGTAAAAATTTTTTTCTTCTTCATCTTCGAGATCTTTTT